TTAAATGTGATATTTTATTGATTTCTATAGAGTTGTGCATGAGGCTAGTGTTAAGAACTTGACCCTGTATGATAACATTAGAGGTCCGGTGCACAAATTTCATGCACTGCGGGGGCGGGGGGGCGGGGGTCCCTCAGCCCGGCCTGCACCCTTGCAGTCCGGGACCCCTTGGGGGATGTCCGACTGCCAGCTTAAAGAGTGGGCTTAGGGAGCGAGCCTAAGCTGGCAGTTGGATATCCCCCGAGGGGTCCTTAGTGCTACCTCGGAGTCGGGAGAGACTCTTGCCACCACCGCTGCGCTTGCCAGCTGTGTGCCCAGCTTCTGGCTGAGCAGTGCTCCCCCTGTGGGAGGGCACTAACCACCAGGGGAAAGCTCCTGCATTGAGTGTCTGCCCCCTGGTGGTCAGTGTGTGTCATAGCGACCAGTCATTCTGCCGTTTGGTCGATTTGCATATTAGGGTTTTATTACATAGGATGGTCTCTAAGGGATAAATCAGAAGCTAATTGAAACATTTGGGAATACAGAAAGTATGACAGGTGGAATAATGGATCCTCAAAGATATCCATGTTGTAATTCCTGGAATCTGTCAATATTCTATTTATCAAAAAAAATCACTAATTATTTTTTTAAATAACCCTATTTAGTATTAATGGACTCAAAGGAAAATTTTAATCACACTGAGAAAGACTTGGGGTTCTTGGGGTTGTCTCATATGGCAAAAGGAGTTTTGGAGAAGTGATTTAATTAAGGATTTTGAGATTGGGAGATTTTCCTGGATTACTGGGTGGACCTAATGTAATTACAAAGGTTCTTATAAGAGGGAAACAGGCAATCAGAGAAGAAAGAAGTAGCTAAGCTGCTGCCTGGAAGATAGCGGAAGAGGCCACAAGGCAAGGAATATAGGTTGCTTGTAGAAGCTGGGAAAGGCAAGGAAGTAGATCCTCCCCTCAAGTTTCCAGAAGTAACACAGACTTGCCAACACCTTGATTTTTGACTTCTGACCTCCAGAAATGTAACAAAATAACTTTGTATTGTTTTAGCCATTAATTTGTCATCATCTGTACAGCACCCATAGGAAACTGAAGCAGAAACTTTTTAAACAATGTATGCCTGCTATTGTCTAATGTATGTGCATACCATTGCCAACACACTATTTAGGGATCTTAGTAGTACATGGGTCTTTCCCTCTGGAAATTTTTCCTCTTCCCTGCCATTTTTCCATCCGCTCCCACTTCCCACTCTCTCTAGTGTTTCATATCTCAGTTAAATAGTGATCTCCCCGCCGAAACTGGTTTGGCTCAGTGGATAGAGCGTCGGCCTGCGGACTGGAAGGTCCCAGGTTCGATTCCGGTCAAGGGCATGTACCTTGGTTGCGGGCACATCCCCAGTGGGACATGTGTAGGAGGCAGCTGATCGATGTTTCTCTCTCATCGATGTTTCTAACTCTCTATCTCTCTCCCTTCCTCTCAGTAAAAAATCAATAAAATATATTTAAAAAAAAATAGTGATCTCCCCAAGAGAACATGTGGAACCAACCCCTCCCACCCCAATCCAATGCCTGCCAGTCTAAATTGGGATCCCTGATGTTATTCTCTTTCCTACACCCTGCACCCTTACAACATTTTAAATTATTTATTTATGTCAATGACTATTTTGTTGTGTGTATCTCTGTGCTATTATACACTTGGTAGGCACAAGAATCATATTTGGTTTTGCTCACTGTTGTGAACACAGCACACAATAGGTATCCAGGAAGTATTTCTTGGCTGAATGAAAACATCCCAGAATTCTACATGTTTTGTAAATCGTGCCTCATAATGAAGTCTATCTAGAAGCTTGAGCAATAAACTAACACACTTCCTTCTCAGTCAGAGGACATGAAGCAGGCTTTGCAGTAACTGTGTTCCTCTGAAGTCTTAGTCAATGTCATCATTATTCAGCCAGGTGACAACGGATGGATGTTTTTTGTGACACGTGTTATCTAAGAAATACTATACTATTTCCCCGAAATTCCTGTTGGATAACATTCAGGATGCTTTTTCTTGCTTTTATTTTTATTATATTGTTTTGCAACATAACTTGTAAAATTCTTTAGTAATCTTTAAACATCTATTTGAGAACTAACTTTAAGAGCTTAGAAGGTCATGAGTACATTATTTGTATCTTCTGCAATTTTGATTCCTCAAGCTAAAGATATGCCTGAGATCTTCTTGGGATGGAGAAGTGATTAACATTTGTGAATGGTTTTATGAAGCCTCAAAACATTAAATGATTAATGAGAATATGAATAAATTTTCTTTATATGTGGTTCAGAAATGTCACCATGTGATTGCAATGGGTTTTGCTGTTGTTGCTGTTGTTTTAGAAATATTTTTCCTGATTGCAGATACATATAAAGATGGTCTTTAAATATTAGATAATTTTTTCCATAATTATTCTGAATGTTTTTATGATGTTTGCTCATATACGTCACCTTTGTTAAACATTGATTCTGATTTTAAATGTGTCAATGGAAAGGAAAGGAATTTTATTGAGGCACTATGAGATTCCTATATGTCACTATGTCCTTTAGGCTATTCTTCATAATAATTTATGAGATAGATTTTATTAATCCCACTAGTACCCTGCGCATGAATCCGTGTACCAGTAGGTCGCTACTGCCCTCTAGTAGCTCTCCACCTGCTGCCCCACCATCCTGTAGCTCCCCCCGCCCCCTCCTCATAGCTTGTTGCCCTGCCCTCTCCTATAGCTCTCCTTCTCCCCTAGCTTGCTGCCCTGCCCTGGCCTGTAGCTCTCTGCCACCTGCTTGTGGCCAGCAGGTTGCTGCCACCCTCTTGTAGCTCTCCGCCCACTGTCCCGCCCACCTGTAGCTTCCCCCAACCCCCCTCCCTCCCCTCATAGCTTACTGCCCTGCCCTCTCCTATAGCTCCCTGCAGCCCGCTTGTACCTAGCTGGCCCACCCTCCTGCTGATCTGTTATCTGGTCATGATGTGCTTGGTTGTTGAGTCTCAGGGCTTAATGGCTAATTAGCATATTCCTCTCTTATTATACAGGATTATACAAAACAAAAAAAGAAAGTGAGGGCCTTGCAGCTTAAACAGCTTGTTTAAAGCCAGCGATAAGGTCCATGGCAGTGCCTGACCTAAGTGCATGCCATGTCCTTTAGACCACACGACCTTCAATGGATGCCTGCAGATCAGCACAGCATTCTTGATGACTCTTCTCAAAGCAGACCAGTTCAAATGTCCCTTGCCTCAAAGCCCTATGCCAGTGGGCCCCAGACCTCAAGATGGAAATGGCTAAATAAATTGGGGTACTGGACCTTATAAAATAAATCCCATTGTGTTCAGCACAGCCACTTTGACCTCTTAATATTATTAACCTCCACAGAACACAGGTTTTGTGGCCATAGTTGCTGTAGTAGGACTACGCTCTATGCTCACTTAACCCTGTGGCAAGAAAAAAAACACACACACGCACACATAAAAACAAAAAACAAAGAAACCCAGTCTTCCCAGTGATGGGAAGAAACTCATGAGAAGAATTTGTAATAACTGCAGCTCTTGGTTTCTAAAGTTATCAGAGGCCTCTAACAAAACATATTTTAATTTTTCGGATTGTTTGCCAGCCTTTCACATTAGAAACCTCCCTTTAGGGAACTCTTTTCATCTTGTCCCAGTGGAATGTAAATGATGACTTCATGTGTTTAGTGACAATGAGGTGAGGGAAGGAAGAATATCACACAGTCACCTCTGAAATGCCCTGGTCAGTTATTCTGGCTTAGCCTCTTATTAACAAAAAAAGTGAGTAAACCTTTCAGGCACTAAAGCTTGATGTGCTTTTCGGCATACCTGGCAAGTGCAGGATAAATGCTTCATTGGTATGGAATTGAGCAATCAGTGATTCTCAGATAAAAGAAAGTCTAGCCCAACAGCAGACTACATAAATAGCTGTTCAGAAACTGAGTCAGGTTCCAGCTAATGCTCTTGTATTTGCACATCTCCCAGTCAGAAGGGTAAAAATCAGACCCTCCTTTTTTATCTATTCCCCTGTGTTTCCTTAACCTTTGTTTTTAATACTAAGCAAGCAACTGATGGCCCTCGAAATTAGAATTTATGCCATTGCTGCCATTTTTTACTTAAAGAAAACTGGAAGATGGCATGCCCTTAAGGATAGTGGATGCTAAGAAAAGCAGTGACAGCACAGGCACCCAGGAACATCAACAAAAAGCATGGATGCAATGAACAAGGAGGTTAATAACTTCCCCAATGAGAGGCATTTCATGATGCCAACCACCCTAGGTGATCAATAAAAAGCTTGATCTAGAAATGATTATTCAATTTTAGGTCTGCAGGATATATAATAACTAGCCTGTCGAATGTTTTTTTGTTTTGTTTTGTTTTACCAATTTGTTTGAATTGTCTTTAGACACAACTGTGAAACTCAAAATGTCTACTTGACTCTGTTTTGTAAGCTGAAAAACACCCAGAAAGCCTTTTATTTTCTTAAAAAAATGCACAGTATTATTTAGAAGTTGGAGCGAAAGCTTTTACTGCTCGGCCTGTAAAAAGAAACAGCACAACCCAGCAGAGTCGCTGACAAGTGACACAAATACAGTCCACACTAATGTGCAGAGAGAAACAACCTTGAGAATTTAAAACCGGCTGCAGCAGAAAAAAATATCTTCATCCAGATATGCGGTCCCTTATGAATTATACTATTATTTTAGTTGATTTTACCTGACATCACCCTATGATTTTCTTCAGTGACAAGAAAATTGCAGCCGGCCCTTGACAGTTGGTCACAAATTGACTGCACAAAACAAAATAAAACAGTGAAGTAATCCCCCAGTAAATTTAATGAAACCTAAATCCCAAAGGGCCGCACGCTTCTGTAGGCAATGGTCTTATTTAATAAATTTCCCCCTGCTTTCACTTTTAGAGCTATATTTACACAGACAAATTTAATTCATTTGGGTTTACATTTCCTCTTCCCCTTAGTTTGTCCACCAGGCACATATGGGAAGGACTGTAAACAGGTATGTCAGTGTTCGGCCGAGAAAGAGGACTGTCACCCAGTCACAGGGAGATGTACCTGTCTGCCTGGCTACCATGGAAACCACTGTCATCTCGGTAAGTGTGTTCTCCGCTTTAGTTGTAACTTATGGAAGAGACAAAGATAGGGTGGGTCATCACTTGGAATGCTAAAGAGCAAATGTGAATTCAAGCTTCTAATTCATAACAGATCTTATGGGAATTTTTATTGGAATGGTTGAAAACATAAACTTTTTTGTGTAATTTGTTCTCTGATTTTGCCTTTTCTATTAAAATTATCTCCCTGAAAAGAGTCAAGAAACAGATAAAGAAAAAGAAATAAATAATAAGACATGAACTGATTATTATAAATCAACGTACAGAAATAGCAAAGTACGAAAGTGATATATCAAGTAAGTTCTAGGATCTGCTTAGGAACAATCAAATTAAACAAATTGTTATTCTGGAATGAAAACAATGATTTGCTTAAAGGATAAAATGCCAGTTGGCTCATTGTTATGTAATAAATAAAAGAATAGTCCCTAGACCAAACACCTTATATTGATCTGCTAGGAATTTTAACATCGAAAACGTTTATAGGAGAACACACAATCAAAAGTCCCAAGGAGCATGTTAAAATGTTCAGTCAGCTACTTAATTTTTAAGCTTGTAATTATTTGTAATGTACTTTTTATAGGTTTAAGAATAAAATGATTTGGCTTCAGTTTCATTTTTTTCCCCAACTTGGCCATCGTCACTCTTTTCTCTTAGTTGCTCCCAACGCAGATTCCTTCTATTTTTCCTTTCCTAATTTTGCTAGTATGTGGACTGATTTCTGGATTCCCTACCCCTTCAAATGCCACCTATGAAATATACACTCATGGTCAAGCTATTGATTTTAATTTTCTGCAGGCCACAGAATGTATATTTTGAATATCACTTCTCTTTTTTTGCCCTAATTTTAAACATTACCAGCTAAACACACAAGTGTGTATGAAGTGGTTTCATATAGCATTGTGTTTGGAATCCATAACCACTACAGTTATTCAAAATGAAGAACTAAAATATAAAATTATTAAAATTTTAATTATTTCTTTTGGTTATGGTAAATTTTAAGCATATTTGTAGTAGAGAAAGAAATGATTCCCTCACACTTGATTCTGTCATATTGCTCAGGAAGAATTACTTCTAGATATCAAGATATTTTATGTTAATAAAATATTATCAAGTTACAAAAAGCTGATAGCACTTTATTTAGAAGGCAAGGCAAGCTACCTTGGGTTGAAGGAGGGTAACTTTGCCTTGTAAAAGCAAGGCTGAGGCAGGGAGCTGCTCCCTGACTAGTCAGGTTGGCTTAGTTCCAGGCAACACGTGGTTGGAAGTTGCTGCTAAGGTTCCTTGGCAACATCCACTGTAATTACAGGACTACGAAAAAGGGTTCAAGAAAATATTCATAAAAGGTGCAGCTGGCTCAAAAGCAAAAGTTTCAGCAGCCAAAAACAACTGGGCTTTCATGTTCTCAAGTTCAGATTGGAGGATCCAACTTTTCTCTTGGTAGAGGTCAGAGGAAGCAGACAAATGTGCAGTAGGAATCGTACCACTTGTCCATAATTTATAACGGGCTGGTCAGTTTCAGTGAGTGAATAGCATGCGGAAAAAAAAAGCGTCCCCAGGAGATGCAAACTCATCATGCTGTGTATTTTTGGACCTTTAAGAAATCATAAAGTGACTATGGACCTTGGAAATCTTTTATTTTTGTAACCTGCAGTACTCACTAGGTATAATGACTCTCTTTGAGAGAATTTAAGGCACTGAGGTCCTCTCAAAACATGGGCAATTCTGTTGACAGTATTCATAAAGCACCCTTGTACTTGGTATAGAATGTTTGGAGAAAAATGGGTCACAGGAGAGCTCACCTGTGCCAGGAGATGATATCAAGATGTTGATAGCAGTCTCGTTCTCATGTTCTTCTTGCTCATAGCAATGAACATTTACAGGCCAAATCAGAGTATCTCTTTTAAGTGTAAAATAAAACTTCACAATAATGGCTAGTGTAAGTGTGAGTTGTGAGTAATCTGGTCAAGTACTAGGAAATCAGACCCTGTTCAAAACAGATTTGTGCATTTTATCTGCTTCAGAGCTATGACTCAGGATATAGTCACAATCTTGCTTGTTCCAAGTTCCTAATGAAACTACAAAGGCATTGACATCATCATAGTATATAGTCGCCTTTAATGTTAAACAAATCAGGACTGTGAATTCATATCCAAGCTTCTTCCTAGTCAAGCTACTTTAAGGAGAGGGGATGGTACAAGTGTGTAAGGAGGGGGGGGGGAACAGTCACCTTTTAATAGAAAATAACTAAACATCCCTTGTCAGAGAGACAAAATTTCCCGGGAGAAGTGGTTGTAAATGGCAGACCAAAAGCCAAGTAATGATCAAAATGGAACTTTAGGAAATGAGGGAAAGGAGGCTGAATTTCATGCAAGCAAGTCAAATAAAATCATTATGTTCTGGGCATGTGTTTCCTTGTTCACTTTATTGAACATTTGAGCAAGGGATGTGTGCATGATTCCAGAAGACACATTTTTACATAGCTACAGAATTATGCAAGAAAGTGGAATTGTTCATCAAAGTACTTATTTTTGAGGGGAAAAATAGCTATGGGCACTTCTTCTGTAAACAAATACCATACTCTTGATACCACTTTAATGAGTTGTGGGACTAAGAGGTTAGCACATATACTGTCTTTCAACAGATGGTGGACTCATTAATTTGTTCATCAAATTCAGTGTCCCTATTTCAAAAGAATAACTAAATTGAAGGCTAAAAATCAGGTAATTTTTTCTCTATATATATAAAAATAACAAAGAAATGATTTTATCAAATGCTCTACCACCATTAAGATAGTTTGCAAAATGGGTATACCTCAGAGGAAAATTATGTTTCCAAAGTAATTTTGAATCACATAAAAGTGATCTCAAAATATAGAGATTTACATATATCAGATATTTAAATTTATCATATAATTATATATAACCTCCCCCCCTTCCAACTGAGATGCTGTTTTCTCTGATACCCATAATTATATTCACAACTTAACATTTTTCTCATTAACAAGTTCATAAGTTTCACTCTATTGGGGGTTGCTCTTTTCCTTATTTGCACAGAAATCCATGTCACCTTTCACTTCAGAGTAATGTGACTCCAGAATTTTCTATGCTAATCAACTCTTATTAATTTAACCCCCTTTGTGGAGGCAACATGCCAGCAGTACACACTAGACTTTCTTGTTTCAAACCCCATGCCTTCAACTTGCTTTCTCCGTATGTGCTTCAATATCAATCAATCAAACATTTTTAAAGTATCACACATAGTAACGGTACAAACTATAAAAATTTACATTCTAAAAGACTGACCCAGATGGACATGAAGAAGAATATTTTATCTTGGTTAATAAGAGAAGAGGAGGAGATGGAGACTTTTTTAATCATTAATTTTGTTTGTAGGCTCATCCTATTGAATTTTTGTGAAGGAGTTAAAGAATTTCTCAGAAGGACTAAAGAATGTTGTGTACCAGAAAAGTGTCAATTAGCTATAAAAACTGATATCCCTTAAAAGGAGGGGATGACAAAAGGGAAGGTGAAATAAACTCATTCATTTTTATAGAGAAAAATAAAGCAATACAACAGCTGTACTAGAGAAATAACCTTTGGTATGAATAATTTTAAAGTGTTTTTCTTTCCACCTCTATCATGGAGAATTTTATTTTAAAATTATCTTTGCTAAAACTACTTATTCTTGGGGAAAGAGAAGGAAAGAAAGAAGCAGCCACCTTATGAGTCTGAGATTCAAGGTGAGAACCCTGGCTGTAGAACAGGATATATGTAGGAATTATAAAAAAATCTGAACCTCTAAGAAAACCATTTTTTTACTTATACCTCTAAAGCTCTGGTACATGTGAAATACTTTAAAATGTTCTTTGCCATCTCATCCTATATAATAAAAGGCTAATATGCAAATAGACCCAACAGTGGAATGACCAGTTACTGTGATGCACACTGACCACCAGGGGGCAGACATTCAATGCAGGAGCTGCCCCTGGTAGTCAGTGTGCTCCCACAAGTTGAGCACCCAGAAGCTGGGCTCATAGCTGGGGAGTGCAGCAACAGTGGCAGCACTAAGGATGTCCAACTGACGGCTTAGGTAAGACATCAGTCGGACATCCCCCAAGCTGTCAGTTGGACATTCCCCAAGGGCTCCCAGGCTGCAAGAGGGCACAGGCCGAGCTGAGGAACCCCTCACCCTGAGTGCATGAATTTCGTGCACCGGGCCTCTAGTTCTTACATAAAAATACAGAATGAAAGAGAGGGAAGAAAGAGTCATGTTGACTAGTTTAGTCACTTAGAGCTATGCTTCCAAGGAAAAGATTTTTCCAGGAGAAAGGACCTAAGGCAAATACTAAATCACTTGACTCAGGTCAAGTAGCTAAGGAAAGGGTTATGCTACAGGCCCACCAATGATCCTGTCACTATCAATGAAAATAATAGCTACCACTGACTTGGGTGATTTATGGGTTTGGTAATGTGTTAGATATTCTATTTTTTCACTCTAGTTCCCACAATAAGCCTGTGATTTTGTTGTTATCCCCTTTGGAATGAAGAACCAGAAACTCAAAGAAAGGACTTACTCAAGGTGGTAACACTCAAGGTGGAAGATACAGGGTTCAAATCACAGTCTATTCCAAACTTGCTATAGCATTATATTTTTAAATGTATGACAAAAATAAAGAGAGTTATCTTCAACTGGTGACAGAATGTTGTGCAATAGATATTTCATGTCTATAGGCCTCAACTTTGTCATCTTAAAATAAGAGTTGAACCAAATGGAGCTGAGGTCTCTTGAAACTCAAACTTCTATAATTTCAAGACTTTAAAATTTTCCATAGAGGCTATACCAATTTACATTCCCACCAGCAGTGTACGAGGGTTCCCTTTTCTTTGCATCCTCTCCAGCATTTGTTACTTCTTGTCTTATTGATAATAGCCATTTAATAGGTGTGAGGAGGTATCTCATTATGGTTTTGATTTATATTTCTCCTATTGCTAGTGAAGTTGAGCATCTTTTCATATATCTGTTGGTCATTTATATGTATTCATGGGAAAAGTGCCTGTTCAGGTCCTCTGCTCATGTTTTAATTGGATTGTTCTTCTAGCTAAACACCCCCAATCTTTCAATCATTGCACAGATAATGGGTTCTTCAGCTCACTCTTGGTCCTGTCCAGTCTTCCTTTATCTTGAAATATGGATATTTATCTAAAATTTCTATCACAGATATAATCATGGTAGGCTACATGTTCATGAATGTGAAAGTAGAAAGCTGAGAAACTAACAGAAAATAAAGACACTTCCTCTATGTTATTTTGAATTCTTACTTATATTAAACCCAGATTGTTCCAGGCAAGACAAGCTATAACACATAAATATTAATCAAAATAATAAATTTATCTAGGCTGGAATGAAATAACCTTGTTTGATAAATTGTTCCCTATTCTGATTATTCTCTAAAAGTAAGATTTTCAAAGAAGTTCAAAGTTGTTTCTTATAGCTTATTAATTAGTGGCATCAGGAACTTTATGTACTCACCTATATTCCTATGGCATCTATATCATCACATATCCTCAGGTAAGTCCACGCCTTGAATCAATAGCTTGAAAGTACCAAAGAACAGTAATTGGAATGTTGAGTAAACCACATGTCTACGGGCATAAATTTAAACTGATTACTTCAAGTAACAGTACCACATATGGTTTGTTTTCCTTTAACAGAATGTCCAAAAGGCACTTATGGTCCCTATTGCCAAAGGACTTGTAAGTGCTTGAATGGTGGCAACTGTGACACCATGATTGGCACCTGTGACTGCCCTCCAGGCTTCATTGGGGCGGACTGCAGTCAAAGTAAGTCACTCTACCTATTATGAAATGGATATGCTAAAGCAGAATTTTTAAGAACCACACTCAGGAAATAGATATTGTTGCAGTTATTTTAGTTAATAATTTACTGTAGCAACAGCAAACACCAACTGACCTAAATTCCAAGTTGAGGAGCATTTACATCGGGAGTTTGATTTAGAGCTGAAGTCAATGAAGGCAGCCAAAGAGAGCCCTTTGGTCATAACTTCTCTTGCCCTATCAATGCCGGACTCAGGACAGGATTTAAAAATCTGGCAAGATCAGATCAAACTGGGGATTCCTGTCTATACAATGTCAAATTCATTATCTAAAGTTCCACAATGTCATTTATGCTCAGCAAATATCCAGCTCAAAATTAAGCAGTTCCCCCACTTTTCAGAAAGCAACTCATTCCCTAAAATCCAAAGACCTTAATACTTATCACAAAAAACAACTATTGACATAGTTTAAGGGACCAGTTGTAAATGAAAGATCCCTTAAAAATGCCTTGGCTTAAACACTTTGGGGATATCCTTAACAAATATATTTTGCTTTTATTACACCTGTCATTTTCTAAGCATTTGGATAGTTTGCAAGATCTCAATACTCTTTAGAGAGGGGAGGAGGCAATGGGTAGGAGAGCTCATGGTGGGGAGGTGGTCCTGGCAACCTTTGTTCTTGGACCTGTGTTCTTTGTGCTGTTGATGAGGTTGTTCACTTTGTGATCCTTCACTGAGCTGCACATGTATGTTCTTTGCACTGTTCTGTGTCTTATACTTTATAATTAAAAAAGTAAAAAAAAACCATCAAGGATCTTAAATTACAGGTAGAATTACTGTGATTGTGAACTAGAGGTTTCTTTATTTGGAAGAGTGATAACGACATTCTTGATCAGGCAGGGTGCTCAGTTATTATGTGCTAAAGATATCCAACATGCTTATCTCCTCTAAGCAGGTAATGGCTCAGTCTTCTTTGTATGAGGGTATTTTTAATTACCCTGCCTCAGTACCCTGCTGTTCTGAGGATAAAAGGCAAAAAAAGACAAAGTCCTGGCTCCTACTAGCGGAAAATTGAAACCTAGTGGATACTGCCTCTGAGGCCTCAACGGCCAAGTTGTCTTTGAGTTGAAGCCAACCCATAAACATCTCCTAAAGGTTCTGACTGGCTCCTTTGTGTTTGTTCTTCAAAGAGAATCTTTGGGAGAAATTTTCTAATTTCCTCAGGCCAAAGCATCTTCAAAAGCTATGGTTTCCCTGAATATTAAGAGTATTTTTGCCTTCACAAAGTTGTGATCTTGTACCTGAGCACTTTTTTTTCTTTACTTTGGCAGCTAGGTAGGTCCAAGCCAAATTTTCAGTCCACCTTTTAACAAGTTCAAGGAATTAAGAAATTCATTATGCATATGCCATTACCTTCACTTGATTCTCACAGGAATTTATTTTATCCTTGTGTTTCCTGTATTTTGGTAAGCATCTCAATGAATTTTTTGTAATGAATTTGCAGCAAAAAAAAAACCAAGCAAATAAATTGATAAGCATGTTAATTTATTAAATTACTTTTTAAAAATATATTTTTATTAATTTCAGAGAGGAAGAGAGAGGGAAAGATAGAAACATCAATGATGAGAGAAAATCACTGATGAGGATCGAGCCTGCAACCCAGGCATGCGCCCTGACCAGGAATCGAACCGTGACCTTCTGGTTCATAGGTTGACACTCAACCACTGAGCCACACCAGCTGGGCTAAATTACTTTTTAAATTTACTTTAATTAATATAATTATTTTAATAAATATAACTTATTAAAATAACAAATTTGTTGGTTTCAAATAAAGAATAAATTTACAAATAAATTAATAAGTACATAAGCAAATATTTGGAGATGTGAGCATACTGGATCTTACATCTATAATAATAAAAGCATAATATGCTAATTAGACCAGACCTCCTTCCAAACGACATTCTGGACAAAGCCAGGGCTATGAGGGAAGCCCGGGTCAGCAGCCGGGGGAAGGAAGGCCTACCTCTTGCATGAATTTCGTGCATCGGACCTCTAGTTGATGTATAAGTGTAAGCTAAAATTCCAAAGTGGACACACACACACACACACACACACACACACACACACACACAAAGACAGTCATGGGATAAAGCAAGTCTGAATTTGTAAGAGTCATTTATATCATATATGTAAGTGTTTGACAATAGGTATTTGGTTGGAATTCCAGTTGTCAACTAAAATTACATTAAGTAAGCAACAATTTAAACATTTCCTTTTTTTTGTTGTTGTTGTTTTTTCCAAGTAACCTTTTTACATTGACATCCACACTGAAGACAAGTCGGGAAATCTATTTGATTAAAAGAAATTTTACAAGTTTTTAAAACTTTTGACTGGCAAAAGGTTTTAATAAGGAAAATCTGCTCTTGTTTGGTTCTTTGTTTTGCTCCTTCCTGCAGCCTGTCCTGCCGATCACTACGGGAAGGACTGTGTCCAGCGGTGTTCCTGTGGCCCAGGACAGTGTGACCCGGTGACTGGAGAGTGCCACTGTTCACCTGGCCAAATGGGAGCCAAGTGTCAGCAAGGTAACAATGACTGTAGGGCCACCTTGTTTATCAAGGCACCGACTATGCTGAACTCTGAAGGCAGATTTGGTGCCAGGGACTATAATTAAATAGGCATTGTCCACAACACTTTCTTCTTAAACATGGCTTTCATAAGATGAGCTACAAGCTCCTATAGAGCTATATAGGAATTATACCCTCCTGGAGGGTAAATAAAAATTGAAAACAAAAACAAGGAATGATTTTTGCATACTAGACTAAGAAACTTTTTAAATCACTTCAGCAAACTTTTGTAGAGCTGCCAAAACTTGTGCATTGGAGATGTCTAATTATAAGAACTGAAGAGCTTTATATCCTTTTCAACTTTCAGAAGTCCACTGAAAACTGCAAGAAAAATAAGAGACAGGAAGAAAAACATGATCTGTTTAAAACTGTGAAACTTCCTTGTCCTAAATCATATTAATGATAATAATAAGAAGAGAAGAACTGTCAAATTCCATGAAGTGCGGACACGTGGAGAGGATGATGGATCCCTACAGCTCTTGTGTGGGTCCAGCAGGGCAGCCACTTCTCCGTGGCTCACATGAAGGGCAAAACTAAGGACCCTTTTTTGAATCATGAGAATTGGGTGCCTGGGCAGGCTGCAGGAGCTTCCTTGAATCTCATGGACATCTTAGAGTGGCAGGATAAATGGGGTAAAACCAAGAAGTGAGCAGACATCTCATATTTACAACTCTATACTGAGATAGAGGGGACTATGTAGGTCATAGGGTGTTTTCCTCTGTGCCAAAGAGGTTTACTACTCGCTGAAATCCGATTTCTAGCCCCAGATCCACACTACTCTCTCAAAAATAGCCAGGATATAAAAAAAGTTGATTAAAAAAACTAAGCTGATACATTTTTTAATAATTCTCTTCATTTTGGAAACAAAATATGTAACCATTCAACATAGAACAAAAAGCTTGTTATAGAACACCTGAAAATATTAACCACAATTTCTTCCAAGAATTCAAAGGACATAATGAAAAAAGTGTCCTCTATAAAATATGAGTGCAATGCAGAGATACAGGGTTCATGACATAAATGAAAACACAACAAAAGAAAATGAAAAAATAAGCTAGCCGAGCTCAGAAAGAAGTGGATAAGAAAATTAAACCTCACATCTTATGAATAAAGGCCACATTGAATGCAGGTAATAAGAGGATAGAATCTGCCAATGGGACAGCCAGGTACATAGAGAATATGCTTGAAGAAAGTGCAAACAATGAAATGAAAATGAAAACAAATATATAAATGGAAAAGAAAATTGATCAAATGTAATATTCAAGATATTTTATCTGAAATAAAAGAAGAGCTGGTGCTATAGATTGAATGAATACATTATATCCTTGGAAATGCTAGTTAGGGCTGACCCATAGGCAAGGGGAAACTCCATTGGGAAAATTAAAAATATGTATATGAGATCCCATATGAAGTGGGAGATCAGTCTGGCCTCATACCTCATAGCAATATTCATTCCAGCCTGTGGTTAATCAATGCCTATGAAATTCTTGGGGGGAAATATGACTAGGGTATTTTATACACAGTGAAACTGTTATTTCAGTATAACATGATGAAAAATAAAATAACTGTTTTAATAAACAACTAAATATATTTCTAGGAATGCAGTAGCTATAAAATATTTTAAAGAAGCTAATAGAAGATAAATTTGAGCCACCAAGTAATATATGTAAAATCTCTGGTAAACAGACTGTTAGGGAGCTTTAAATCTATTTTAATTGGTGATGAATTTAAAACAAATGTGGAAATTATACTCAAGTGATGAAGATAAACAGATAAATATTAGAAATTATAACAATGTTGAGATTTTAGCATAACTTTAACAAGCATAAGCTGGAAGGGGAAAGAAGGTGAAGGAGTATAAGTATACTAATGTTATTTCTGTATTAATGGTTGTGGGATGGCAATGATAGATCTGTTCAAAACATAATATTTATATATGACAACTCAATAAGTATGTTTAAGTGAGTAATGGTAAATGCTAGAATTGAGAATGCTATAATTGAAAATATAAGAATAAAACTGTATCCAGCTACAATCAGAAGAGAAGAATGAGTAAAATTAGGAGAAAGCAGAATCATATTAATTCTATCAACATTCATACTGGAGGATCAATATGTACTTAATAAAGAAATGCATCATATTATATAATTTTATATGCACTGTCTAAAGAAGGTTCCCTATATAATATAAAATTACAAGACTTTCACTTAGAGAAAGGTGGATTATATACACTTTTTTCTATTTCTTCCTCCCCAAACAGTAAAAATTCTAGAAACTATGTAGAAAACAAACATAAGAAACTCTGAAATGTGGAGAGCAGGCAGACTCCCTGGGAACAGTGGGGACTTAGTGAACAACACAATCATGAGTTCCTTGGGCTTCCTTTCTTTGTCTCATATATCCTGGACTGGGTGCAGAGAAACATGAAACCCAGAAAAGCTTATCAGTGCAGATAAAATAAGGCCCGAGATAAGCCTGCTTTTTCTAGTCAAAAGACCAGGAAAGTCCAGCCAGGGTGGCACAGTGGTTGAGTGGCAACCTATAAACCAGGAGGTTATGGTTCAACTAGAGGCCCGGTGCACAAAAATTTGTGCACTCAGGGGGGTCCCTCAGCCCGGCCTGTGCCCTCTTGCAGTCTGGGAACCCTCAGGGGATGACCACCTGCTGGCTTAGGCCCACTCCCTGGGCGATCGGGCCTAAGTTGGCAGTCAGACATACCCCTGGCAGCCCAGGAGCCCTCGGGGGATGTCCAATTGCCAGCGGGGAGCAGGCCTAAGCTGCAGTCGGACATCCTTAGCACTGCTGAGGAGGCGGGAGAGGCTCACGCCATCACTGCTGTGCTGGCAGCCAGCAGCCTGGCTTGTGGCTGAGCAGAACTCCCCCTGTGGGAGCGCACTGACCACCAGGGAGCAGCTCCTGCATTGAGCGTCTGCCCCCTGGTGGTCAGTGTGTGTCATAGTGACCAGTCATTCCCCGTCATTCCACCGTTAGGGTCATGTTACCCTTTTATTATATAGAATTGGAATAACTGTATAAGGTAAGTATAATCTCCTCTATCTACCAAGGAGAGCCTGCGGCTGCAGGGAGTGTGAGCACTCTTCCCACGGTTGTGCGTGGTGAAATGGTGGAGCTGGATGGAACCCACGTCTCATGCTACAAAGCCGCGTTGTTGCTGCTCAGCTGTGCCCTGGAGAGAGGATTGCTGGAGCTGGGCCGGCAGCCTGGAGGGAGGGGAGGGCTGAGCCGTGCTTTATCGGAGGGCACCCATGTCACCTGTGTGATAACTGGAAGACACAGGCTTTCCATCTTCCGAGGCTTTCTGCACTGATATGAGAGAGACATCACACGCACTCACAGGTGCTTCCCTAGTCTCAGCCGCCTGAAACCCCAGCCATTCTCTGTACTGGGATTTTATCTGATAAAGTTATGAGCATTCAGAACACAAATTGTTGCCTTGAGTGGAGGCCACAGCCGCCCAGGGCAGGTGGGAAGCTTGGCTTCCTGCATCGCCGGGGCAACCAAGCCTCCTGCTTGCTCCAGCTCCTTGGCTGCTGTCTGCCTTCTTGGTTGGGTTAATTTGCATATAGTCTCTCTGATATGCTGGTGGGTGTGGCTTGGGGCATAGCGGAGGTGTGATCAATTTGCATGTTTCTCTTTTATTAGATTAAATTCCCATTCAGGGCACATGCCTAGGTTGCAGGCTCAATCCCAGATTTCAGGAGGCAGCCAACCAATGGTCAACGATTCTCTTTCATCATTGAGGCAGTCTACCAAGACAAAAATCTCTCAGACAATAATGAGTCTAACTCCAGTCAAACACTACAAAATAAAACTTCATCCTCAACTTTAACCCAGGTCACCTGAAGAAACTATTCTTCAAATTCCACCTGGATGTAATGAACCAACCATCCCCTGCATCAGGATGATGTGAGAAAAGTCCCATGGGGCTGGAAATTTCACCCCTGCCAGGTTGGAATGAGTACCCCACAACCCCTTGCAGTGTTAGTGCAAACCATATGGAGAGTGAAAACTCCACCCCACCCCCAGTAGATGGTAAGGAGACACCACCCCTTTCTGCCAGGGTGGCACCAGAAGAGGTCTAGTGGATAGTCAGGACTTTCACTACCAACAATCAGCCATGAGATCACCTCACACAGTGTCAGTGAGGTCAAGTGGAGAGCTGTAAGGAGGAACCCTACCCCTCATTCAGGTAGGTGTCAGCAGAGGCCTGAACTCTTACCCTGGCCCAGCAGCAATGAGTCATGTTTAGTCCCCTCCACTGGAGACTTGGTGGGGAACATGGATTTCAACTTCTATCGGCTGAACCTCTTTCCTCAGTGTCATAGGAGACTTACTAAGTCAGGAGATTTAAATGAGATCCAGAGTCTCATATCATAATATTCAACATGTCCAGGTTTCATTTAAAAATTATTCATCAAACCAACAACCAGGAACATTTCATATTGGTATAGGATATACAATTGAAAGTAACAAATGAACAAACAAGACAAACAAACAAAGACTTATGGACAAAGACAACAGTATGGTGGTTACCAAAGGGAAAAGGGTTGAAGGGGGCAGGGGAATAGTAAAGGAGGGACAAATATATGATGAAGAAGGACTTTGGGTGGTGAACACACAATGCAATATACAGACGAATATTAGAGAATTATACCCTTAACCCTATGTAATTTTATCAACCAATGTAACTCCAATAAATTTAATTAAAAAATAATTAATAGATATGAACACTGAGATGACACTGGTGATAAAATTATCTCAATTTTTAAAGGAGCCATCATAAAAATGCTTCAGTGAGCAACTACAAAACTGCTTGAAACACATAAAAGAAAAAATAGAAACAACATCCACTTTATCTTAAAAGCAAAAAATGAGACATAAAGAAGAATCAAATGGAAATTCTAGAACTGGCATATATAATAACCAAAAACAAAACAAAACACACACACACACGCACACACACACGCACACACACGCACACACACACACACACACACACACACA